GGGAAGCGGGGTCTCCCCATCTAGAGAGGCTCAACGGGAGTCTTTCAGTAGAACAGTCTCCACTAGGGACAAAGTAGTTCACCTAAAGTAAAGCTGCATAGAGATATCGCTTCTACATGCACTTGTGTGAAACAAAAAAGCAGGAGAGGTGAAGGAGTTGGATAGAGCCAGACAATTTTCTAAGCTAGGGAAGTTTCACATCAGCTGTCCCCTGTCCTAAACAAGGCTCTACCCTAAGAGAGACCTCAAGACCACTCCAGAGGCTGACAATTCAGAGAGCCACCATTTTTCCTGGAGAAGAAGAAAAGAAGAAGAAGAGGAGCAGGAGGAGGAGGAAGCTGAAGAGATGGCTCTGTAAGAGTAGATACTGCTCTTGCAAAGAACCTGAGTTCAGTTCCTAATAGCAGTATGAGGCAGCTCACAAACACTGCTAGCCAAAACTCCACAGGGATCCAATGCCTCTGACCTCTGAGGGCACCTGACTCTCTCTCTCTCTTTCTCTCTCTCTCTCTCTCTCACACACACACACAGAGACACACGCAAAGAGAGGAGAGAGAGAATTAAAAGTAAATCCTTAAAAAAGAGGTCGTGCTTCCCCAGTGATAGAAGAGAAGCCCATGGCCTGTGCCAGGAATGTACTTTCAAATGTGTTCTGCATTATTGATATAAAGTACTGCAATCTTCCTGTAGCCATAGTTTTTAGGGCAAAAGTTTAGAGTCTAGCAGCTCATCCTAATGTGCCAATTAAAGAGCCATACTAGTGGAAATCAGGGAGAAGAGCGTCATTCAAGGTGACCACATTAAGAATAGGGACAAATAGAGGGTTCCAGTGACCCCAGGTCTGTCTCTGGGCTACTGGTAGGAGCTTTAGATTTACATAGAAGGAAAACTGGGACATAGTTAAGCAGTCTTGGTCAAGGTGTTGTCTCTTATCATTGTATCAATTCTGATCCTGCAAGTTGTCTGAAGAAGTTAAGAACACTTGCTGTTATTGCAGAGCATGCCGGCTTCAGTTCCCAGCACCCACACAGTGGGGTCTCACTGCCAACTGTAACTCCAGCTCCAGAGGATCCAACACTCTCTTCTGGCTTCCACAGGCAGGTGAATGCATGAGAACACTTTCAGATAAGCAGATACACACATACAGACATAGATAGATTAGATAGATAGATAGATAGATAGATAGATAGATAGATAGATAGATAGATTTACAAAATGATGGTGGATTCCAGGCCCCTGGCCTCTATAGGCATGTGAATGCATAAGAACACTTTCAGACAAGCAGATACACACACAGAAATAAATAAATAAGTAAGTAAATAAATAAATAAATAATTGGATAAATGAATAAATAAATAGATTCACAAAATGATGGTGGATTCCAGGCCCCTGCCCTTAGTTTCCTATGGGTCCAATTGAGGAGTCATACTGCAACCTCCACATCTGACACCGCCCTCCACTCTTTTTTCATCCTTTTAGACAAAGTCTCACAAATTTCAGGCTGGCCTCAGACTCACTCACCATGTCATCTTGAATTCCTGATCTTCAGCCCAAGTGCTAAGAATACAAGTAGTACTAATTGAACCTGGGCCTCACACATTCTAAGCATTTTACCAACTGAGCTATTACCTGGCCTCTAAAAGCTCTTGTGCCCAATTTGTGAGAGCCCAAAAGACCACCAGGAGTTGAAGTTGTTGTAAAACATATGCGGATCTTTTATTACAAGCTAGCCTGGACACACACACCCTCACCACTGAATTGGTTGATAGCTGAGAGCCTCGTGCTCAGGTTAGGTGGGTGATTTAAAGATTCAGGTCCCTCCCAGCATGCTCAAAGCAGGGGGATTCCTGCCTGGCAAGCGTCTATTGGTTGAAACACAAAAGGGATGTTGCATTTTGAATTGATTGGCTATAGGAAGGCCCCCAAACTATTAATGGTCTGGCTTCCCCTGTTTGGCTGTTCTAGGGGAGAGGGGCCGGTTTCCTAGCAACTGTATCTTTAGTGCAGGAAAAGAATGCAGTAGAGCTGGTTCCTCCCTGCAGGAGGCTGGGCATGTCTCCACCTGGCTCGCTTTCGTTCAGGCTTGTGCTTTAAACTTTAAAACAATACCACTGATTTTTAATTCTTTGGTCTCTCAAAGCAGCTTCTAAATGGTTGCTCCACTTCTAGGTGAAACAAAAGAAAACCGTAGAGATCTTCATGCAACCTCCAAATAAACCAGGGCCCCATTTCTTCATCTAATTGTCAGGAAAATACTGTGTTCTGTGAGACCAGAGAAGGAGCCACATCATCATTAAGTTCCCACACCCTATTAGGATAGGTTTCTAGTTGTAGTTAGAAATGAGTTTATGTT